GCACAGCCTATAAATTCCTATTCCTGGCTTATTTCAAACTATATGCTTAGTCATGAGCTTTTCCACAGACAGAGACCACGAAGGAACGAGCCTCTTACAAAGAGAGCCTGGGAGCCTCCCAGCTGCCTGGGCTGAAAGGCATTTCCCCCAGGTACACATAACCTCTGTCGTCGTTTCAGTACAGACCAATTGCCACAACAAGGACTTGCAGTCCAGAGATTTATATATAAAGACTTGTGCCCCGATCTTTGCCTTTTAACCACAGAATCCGCTCAAAGGGCTGTGGCATATATTCAAAGGAAAAAGTTTGTAAGGCAAAACTCTGGAAAATCTATAAGACAACTGCACTCCAGGTTTAACAAGAACGGCAAATGAAACACACTTTATGGAAAATCTTTAACTGTGTTGTACTGATGACTAAAAGTACACAGAAGTGTTAGGTGATCTGCAGATACCTGCCAGGGCAACCCGCCCATATGCAAAGGTCTTCTGAGCTAGACATTTTTCAAATTGGACAAGCATTTCTTTTTATTTAGCAAGGGGGAAAGAGGGTGGGTTTACAGGTTTGATAACAAAACCTTTGGATCACAAAATGCATATTCTTTGAGAAAGATTAAATTCAGAGCTGGATCCCTCTCTGGTGCTTGGGTTCATTTTGTTAACAAAAGAAGAATGTATCCCAAAGGAGTCACTCAACAGGAGACAAAGTACGGCCCTTCTTGCAATGACTTCCTCTGGATTTGATCCAGGGGTCATTAAAGTAGTGAGATCCCAGGGACCTCTTATGATGTGTGATTTCAATAATCTTTTTTTTTTTTTTTTCCAAATTTCCTCTATAAAGCATTTTTCTTTAGTGCCACAATCTCCCTCATATAAAAAGTCTAAAAATGGCAGCTGCTTCTGTTTTCACTACAATACAGTTTCCATAGTCATAGCACTGTACTTTTATATGCATACATGGCAATTTAATTCTATAGAACACTTAAAGAATGAACTGCAGTGCTATGACTGTCCTGATCCTGGTTTTGAGGCTCTAAAGCAGTCAGAAAATAAAAAAAAAACAAACCAAACCCTCTGCAAGTGCCAGGTCTGCATCCCCACCAGAATGGGTCAGCTGTGGGGAAGGGACGCAGAGCTGGTGCCTCGCACACCCGCACGCACACATTAGGTTGGTTGTGAGTGCAAAAATCTGCCCATGTAAATTTTTTTTTGTGTGTCCTACCTATTGAACAGACCTTTGGGAACGCAGTATAGTGAAACCCATGAAAAGCAAAGGATATTCAGAGCGCAGTCCCTGTCTGTCCAAGTTCCATCCTGCAACCCAGCCTGAATGAAGATGAGCCTCGCTAAGGCGAATGCTTCTCCCACCTACGACTCGCTCACGGAAAAGAAACGAGCCTCAGATGACAGGCCAGGAAGAGCTCGCAGAGCCACAAGATCAGCTTCATGACAAGAGGGCCTTTCTCAGAGAGCTGCACCGTCCCCTGGCCGCTGGCTCCACGCAGGAGGTGCCCCTCTGCCCCGGCCACGCTGGGCTGGCAGCGGCAGGGGGGGGGGGGGCGCGGCCACGCCCACGCCGCGAGCCTGCACAGTTATGTGCATGAGCACTTGTTCGTCAGAGGGCACCAGAGGATTTTGGTTTTTTCCCGGCTGCATGCTAAAGGCTGCTTTCCCTTCTGAACAGGCAGTGCTGTGTCCCCGGCATCTGAATCCAACGTATTTAATGCCGAAGCCCAAGCTTAGTGGGCAGCAATACTGAGGACTCACACCATGCTCAGGATGGGACTAATCTTGCCCAAAGCTGAAAATCGGGAGGTTTAACTTTACCCTGCGAGGAACCTCAGTGGAGAGACTCATGTAAGCAAAAATGTGCATGGGCATGAAGATCTGCAGAATTAAGGCTTTCATTTGTGTTACAAACATACATCTGGGGGTCTTAATATTTATGAAGCACCGCAAATTCCCAAGGCATTTCACAGGTTATATATACAAAGAATATTGTCAGCCAGGTCCTGCCATAGGAAAACATTTCCATTTGACACAGGGGCTTAATTATGCTCACAGAAGACCTGTTGAAAATAACATGATTTTGGTACAAGTCCAAAATTAGTCATAAGTGCTTCTCTGAAGAAGGACGGAATAAAACATTTACTTGGGTGCTTTCCTAAGTTCTGGCTTCAGGGATGTGTAACCTGGCTTTGTGCTCGTTATCGCTTCACAGCGCTCAGAGCTGTAGAACACCTGAGGACAGGGACGGAAAAACATCTTTCCTGAGCGAAACTGCAGGTAGAACTGGGAAAACAAAAGCAGAAAGACTCCTGAACCAGATTTGCTGGGACGCCTCTTTTGAAACACCACAGTATGGTGATATGTAAAAACGTCTCACCCAGCCTAGCAGCCTGCCTCTGCCAGTGGCCACCTGTGGACCCCAAGAGACCACATCTAGTATGGGATCCTTCGGAAAAGAGCACGCACAGTGCGATCCCTCTCCAAAATCCTTCACTAACTCCTAGAAATACGGGCAGGGTCTCGGTTACCATCAGTGTGATGCCCCTTTGAGCACAGCTCCCTTTACTGATTTTGCTGGGCAAAGGACCCAGTTCCGTATCAGTTGGGAGTTTCGCCTCCTGCCTTGCTTTTCCACAGACCTTGCTTGCTCTGCTGTGCTGCGGGTGACTCTGCTATGGCAAGAGATAATTGGTCAATCTATCCATTGAGATTAACTTAATTAAGTTTGTGAAACAAAACGAAGACTTTGCGACAGCTCCTCTGAAACCCAAACAGTTCGGCCAGGAGTTTTTGCCTGCGTGCTGGGCTGCAGCGGGTGGATGTTAAAGGATCACGGACAACTCGGACATCGTGTTCGTGATGTTCCTGTGACATGTAGCACCCAGGCTCCAGCGCTAGAGAAGAAATTGTTCCAGTGTGTGTACTTTCCATAGGGAGACCTGACTGTAGAACCAGCTTCGCTCTTTCCCCTGCAGTCATTTGAGATGAATTTCATTCCTGTGTGAAGGGCCAGTATTTGGTGTAAGCGCCACTTAAATCCCCTTTCAGCATTATTTCCAGAGCTTAAGTGGAGCTGATGTGGTACCTTGTGCAAACTTTTTTGCGTAGGGGTCGGCTCCCCTGGCGCTGTGGGCCTTTCCCATAGCAGCAAGGAACAGAGAAGACATAAAAGAATAAGGAAAATACGATTACAGAACCACAAATATTGGCAAGACTGACCTAACTGCACCCTCTGGAATGATCTCTAATTTTCTTTTTAAACCAAGCGGATTTCCAGCTGCCTGTATCTCTTTAATTAAAAAGCGATGTCCTTTCAAATGGCTTAGAAAAATGGAACGGCACGTTTCCGGATCGTGGTTTTGAGGGATGATTAGGCTGTGCTCCTTTGCCTCAAAGTTACCCTGCAATTTAGTGACTAAGAACATCGAAAAAATTAAGCTATAAAATGAACTGAGTTCTAACTGGCCCGAAAAGCATGAAGTATAATTTTTCCTCTTCCTGTACTAAAGAAGCAAGTTAGCCAAAATTTTAGGAATAGTTATAAACAGATTTGTTCTTGAATAGTATCTGAAAAACCCAATTTTGGCTGGAAGTTGGTTTCCACATCTAACGAGTAAATCCACAAGAAGATTAAATGCAGCAAGAACCCTAACAGTTGCATTTTGAGATGCTGCCATGACACCATCAAGTCAAAATGTTTGACCTCTCCATGAAATTTCGATGTAAGATGAATTGTTGATTCTATGGACTTACTCAGGAGGCAGTAATGTGATTCAAACCATCTGACTGTCATCAGAAACCATTTACTCTTGTATAACAGTAAGCTAAAAATGCTTCTTCACAGTTGAGTATTCTGACTGAAAAACAAAATCGTACACTGAACAAGTAACAATAAGCTTTCCCCTGGAAAGCAGGCATCAGGATGAACTAAAAAAATCACCACAGGTCATTATTATTTAGGTGTTTTGATTTATGTTAGTTCTGTTTATTTTCAAATTCCCTCCCCTCTACCTAAAATATTTTGGTATATATGTGCATATATAAATTGCAAGTATTCCATTATGCTTGCAACAATGTTGACAGGGCCCCTGGAGGGCAAGGAACCACCTGAACTCTTGTGTTCAATAACAAGCAGGCAAAAACTGCCCTCAAAACATAAGAAGCGAAACGCAGGAAGAAAAAAAAAAAAACAAACCAAATCAAACTAGGAGGTAAACATTCCAAACAGCTGCCTCCTGCTTCATTAGCAATTTCTGACACCGATATCAGCATCTCTAGACCCTTTCGAAGAATATTCTTGTCATCCGCGTAATGCAGAGCTGTTTAACAAGCAGTCTCTGGAAACCTCTCAGACACTGCTTTAGCCTACCGGTCAGATTTTGGTCTGTAAAATTAAGAAATGACATGATGTTATACTACATCTTCTTTTCCAGCTACTGAATTGTGACTTGAAGGAAGACCATTAATGTACTGACAACTGCTAATAGCATGAAATGTAGCAAAGGACTATAAGGACTGAGTGAAGCTTTCAGCTTTTCTTTCTCTCCTTCACACTGTACGATACTTTCTAGAACAGAGCTCTAAGTAAAAGCCAACATAATGCAGTTTTAACCCAAATCTCAGCAATCTCTGTTAATCCAGAGCTCTCTTACAAATAAAGGCCTTCAGAATATACCATTTCCAAGGCTCCCACTTAATGAAAGCAGGCTTCACATTAATGCAGGGTGCTGGTGCACCATGCTTCTGAAACCACGTATACTTCATGCAGAAACAACAAGGCAATGATAAATTCTGGAGTCAGATCATGAAGTGACCAGTGAACGGGAATTCAGATTTCTGGATTGAACTCTTGAAAAAGCTGGGGTCAGTCAACAAAAACAGAGTGTCCATCCATACCAAACTATAAACAAACAAAAAAACATAACAAACATATGTCTTTTCAAAAAAAAGAAACAAAAACCGGATCAAACAAGTGTAGAAAACACTCAAGCTGTCATTTCAGTTGCGTATTTATGAGCCACTGAAGAGTTACATGACTACTCTCAAGCACGTGGGTAAATTGGAAGCGTTCATCTCCCATGTGAACAAAATGAACGTATGTAGATGATGAAACTGCATCCAGGCAGACACAACTGTTGCTATTGCTTTTCGTGACCATCTCAGAATGGAGTGTGCAGGAGTGACAGTGCTCTGGAGGCATGTGCATGACTGGTCCAAATCCTAGAAAGCTGACTCGGTCCCTCCCTGTGACCTTTCCCTGTAGTTTAGTGTTGGATCTCTGTTTGTTTTTTCAAGACTTCACCTCTTCGCAGTCTTGATCAGTGGAAAGCTCCACATCGGACAGTCCAACTTCCATTGCCATAATCAATGAAATATCTGAATCACTGCTGACTGCTGGCTCCTGTTCATCTGTGAGGGTAGAAAAGATAGAAAAAGGGCATTATGATCACATCTTTCTGTCAATGTATTACTATTTTTGAGTTCTACAGATGGGACCCAGAGGTTTCTCCGCCACTGAGGTTGTGCTTAGATTCCAAACTTTGCTCTTATTCAGTATCTGTCTAAAGCATTTCAAAAATATCAGAAAGTTGAAGCCATCAGTAGCGAGAAACACGATGACAAGGAGCCTGGATGGGTAGCACTTTCTTCTCCTCCTAATCCTCCCAGGGCTCTCCATCCAGGCCCTTCATCTCCATGACCTTCCTCCCACAGCCTGAGCACTTCCCTCCCCGTCCCCTTTCACTTCCTCACCGTGGCATCATCCCACTCTCCCCACGAAGGCAGCCAGTCAAGGACAAAGGCACAGGCACCTGGCGGAGCGAGACGGCCATCAGGGAAACATTTCTAACAGGAAAAAAATCTGCCCAAGCCCTCGTTAAGTGACAGAATCTCTGTTAGCGGAGACTTTTAAGAGGGTGCTAGGCTAATGTCTGGAAGGAGCAACATGGGTGTCAGTAGTTCTGCCCCAGGATTCAGGACCAGGCTACCTGCCTTCTCAGGTGCCTTCTCTCATCCTTTTCCAGTCTCTTTTCTATTCACCCTTTCCTCTGGTTTGAAGATACCTTGCAGGTTCTTGATCCAGGCCGAAGGGATCTACCTTAATCCACCACGATCCCAAATACAGTAAGAGTCAGATTATTGACTTTTGCCAAACTGCAAGTCCCATCAAAACTACAAGCGTAGGAGGAGTAACTTGTTTTTGTTTTGATCCCACAGCAATTACTGCATGTGTATTTAGTAGCAGATAAAGCCAACAGATTCTAAAGGACTAAAAGCTAATTTTATTCCAAGAACAATCAGGAGAAGCAAAGCACACTGGATCTCTGGGGAGGTTTTCAAAGGCACAAAAATCCCATAGGTGGCTGAGTCCCTGGGAGAAAAAGTCGATGGTTCATATTTTCAAGTGGTTTAATTACAACGACGATATTTATACTGTAACAATACAATGTATTTAAATCTGTGGCAGTTTTTCCTTTACATATTTTATTTTTCAGACAATAGAAGCAGAGCTTGATTGATGATAAAAAGTCTAAAAGTTGAATAACTAAGAATTAATAAGTAAGAAACATTACAGTGGAGCCAGGAAAAGAATAACTCTACACAGTTTAATTATTCACTTGAAGCTAAGTGAGCACAATTAGTCTCCTCTCAAGAGCGGCATGATTTTTAAATCTGCTTTAGAGAACAAACCATGTATTTACTTGTGCTGGGATTAGACCTCATGTTCTGCAGAGAAAGCTTGAGTGGGGTCTGCATTATTCAAACTGAAAGAGCTAGTGCTTTCCTTTACAACCCTTCCCAATTTTCACCCTGGATTATTTTTATACTTTCTTGATTGCAAGATAAATAATTAATGCACACAACCTCTTTATAGCTGTATATTTTTCCCTATCAATATGACAGTAGTAAAACATTTCAAGGCATTGCTTCTAACTATAAATGTTTCCACTGGAGGTGGAGGAAGTACTTATAAAGCGAATGATATCTCCTACAGCCTTCAGTGGGCTTGAATTACATCGAACCCTTAGGTGAACTGCTAGATCCAAGAGTACAAAAGTGCATCGCATGCACCTCCAAGACCTAAAGCATCATCTGTAGTGGTAACAGCTCCCTGAGCCAGAACGATGTGGTTCCAGACCACTGGATTATTTATCATTCCTCTGTAACTAATAGGATTCTTAAAAACAATGAAAATGATGCTTTAAATGTTGACCTAAGAGCAAGTTTATATTTGCCTGACAGAGTTCCTGAGGCTTAGCCGTGTTAAACAGCCACTTGGAGCACTCTTGAGAGAAGGGTGATTTTCATCTGAACTAGCTGTGCAGGAAAGAAGGACTGGCTGAATGGTGACAGCCACACGCATGCTGAAGAGGCAGGCTGAGCTGCCAACACCAAATGTCATAGCGTCAAATGAGAAGTGTTTATGATGCTGAAATGTTATTTCAAGAATCGTCGTTTCTTCTAGGGTTGCACAGCAGAAAAAGATCTCAACTGAATTCAAGACGGGCAGATAGAACAGAAGCAGATTTACAGCTCACCTACCAACTGCCTCAGCTAGGTACAGGAGCACTCGCTTTCCAAACCAGCAAACTTGAATTTTACATGAAAAATCCTACACAGTTATTCAAATTCTTGGATCTTAGTCTCTCCAAAGTGTGGGCTTTGTAGTTTGTTGTCTTTGGGACTGAAGCGCAGGTCAGTAGGAACAATGAAAAAAGGATCCTATAAATGCCCACACCTATGCCCTGGCATTGCTTTTCCAGCGCTGCGAAAGGGCCTAGAAACATGAATGCTCCACCTTCCTTGCTTGCTAACAGTGCAGCAGTTCAAAATCCTCAAGCTACAGCCTGCCGCTTCAGCAGAGTGGGGAGAAGAACTCGGACGTCACCAGCCCTTACACCTTCCCTTTCAGCAAGGGGTTAGCACTGATGTTTCTTTGGAAGACGCAGACAACACAAGGAGATTAATGCATCCCTCAGCGTTACATGCTTGCTCTTGTAAACAGGAGTCCTACTACTGACCCCAACACGCCCAGGAGGAAACTCTGGGAGGCTGCAGAAGTTACACCAGATACAGCTCAGCTGTAGGCAACTCTGGCAGCAAAGTCTACAGATGGCTTCACCACAGCCTCCCCCCCAACACAGGCTTTCTAGACTGTGGTGGTGGGGTTTTTTTGGCCAGCTGCTCAATAACATGAGCCAGCACAGTTAGTGACATTTGTTAAAGGTAAGCAACCCCCAACTAAACTGCAAGTGCCAGGAGCTTAGCGGGCATTTTGCATCCCTGATTTTTAGATCCTATTTACAGTGACAAAGCTTATACAATCACACAGCTTCTAGAGAAGATGCCTGACTCACTGTTAAGAATATTTATGACCTTTTTGCAAGTTTTTTGAAATTTGGTGTTTTTCTTAAAGCCCTGAAGTCAGGTAAGGATCTCAACTTTCAGTGAAGATCTCAGCTTTCACTTAAAAATAAACGAATCTTAAGAAGTAAAAAGGAAATAGAGTTTAAAAAAACCCATATCCCTAGTTTCCAGACAGATTTTATGCTGGAGTACCTGACTTGTGATTTTAGATGTTTGAGACTGGCAATCCTGTCCAACAACATACACTACAATACTTCCACCGTGTCTATAGCACCTCATGACACAGGCATAAAGCCTTTTGCTTAATGAAGCAAAAGGCACATCCCAAGCCGCTTTTCAGCCCGAGTGCTAGTGCCTACAGCAGGCAACTGTAGACCTCACTGCCACATTCCTCTCATGTCAGCGAAACACAATACACCACAGCAGGCTGCCTACTTCCAGACAGACTTTTTCCACTCACTTATATTCCCTGACACACATTCGTTTGAGAGGTGCAATAAAATAAACTCCTCTAGCCAATATTACTTTAAATTTAATTATGGTAATGCAGGAAGAATATCACCACGTAGATATGGAACTGCCCTACATAATAGTGGTACAGCCCTTACTTGTTGCAAAGTTCATTAAGTGATGTTTATATTTGAGTATAATTGCAATCAAACAAGGATGAAAATAGCTAATTACTCTGGTGCTTTAAAAACAGTAAGACTGCGCACTAGTAATAGTTATCTACCGCTGCTGCTACTCCTAACACTTTGAGTAAGTCTGTAGCTGTTGTACTGTAATAAATATTCCACAAGAAAAAGGTCAGACGACAGGTTTCTAAGAATTTGATACTGTTTGCAAGGGTCTTGGGAGGGACCTAAGCACTCAACTGCGAGCAAAAAGTTCATTTACAAAAACGTTCATCTGCCATGGGTAGGTAAGCATACAGGCATGGGCACAAATCAAGATACACTTGTAACGACCCACTCACGGATGAGGAACAAGCTGATAGAAGTGTGGTTTTGCACTCATGGAGGCCTCTCTCCTGCTCACCACTGTGCTCCTCCCAAGGAGGCCACATCTGACACTGTGCTCTGATGTCCCTAGGACATGGGCAGCGCCACGGGGCTCTTCTAAAGTTGCTCCTGCTTGCCCCTGAGGCTGAGATTTCCCCCAAGCTCACGGAGCTGGAAAAGCCGCAAAACCCCATGACTGGGCTAAAAAGGTCCACAAGCAATTTGCATCCAGGAGATCAGCAGAAAAATAGGATACACTAAAATGTTGTACAGCAAAAGTTTCTCACCATTGAATGTGTACAAAGTTTGTCCAAGATGACAGACTTTTTTCCTTCTCTGGGCTTTCAGGTAGCTCTCTGCTATTACACTAATTTGTGAGTAAGCAGAGAAGTATCGATTATTACACGTCAAATGAGAGCTGCCAACAAGTGTGTAATTCATCTACTGGAAGTGTAACTAAAGCTACCAATCTCCTATTCTTGGGGATTAAAAACATGGGCCACAGCAATAAACCATTCAGTTGGGAGTCAGTCTCCTTCCCTCATTTATTATCAGCTCTCCGTGAACTAATTCAGCATACTCAGTCCTGCTCCACACACAATTAAACCGCTGCACAGAGCTGTGCAGCTGCTAATGGTTTTCTTCATCTTGCAACAGTCACAGGAATCAGCAGGTAAGGAAAAGCTGCTACCGTGCTACTGAGTTAGGTGTAACCTATTTGCCTAGCTATAAAGCCGAGCATTTAGCACAAGAAACAAATCTTGCTTTGTGCAGATCTTCCGTTCTTGATGGTAAATGCCCAGCTTTGAGGAGAAATGAATAATTATTGATTTCTTCATCTAATGAAATGCTGTGAAAAATTTATCAGTTATTATTCCATCCTTCGCTGGCAGAAATTGCACAGCAGACAATGGGACTCTGTCTAAAACCTTGTTTTGACAATAAATATACAGCAGAACTTGGAACTTGATTTCACTATTCATTTCACATTCTCACTACTGTGAAATATACCTTATTTCAGAACTCTTCATTTTCTGAAGA